GAAGTCAATTTTTGTTTTAGGTGTTCTGGTGAGACAATTAGTCATCATCTTTACAGTTTTGATGGCTATCATTGAGTTAGAAGACAATTTATTGTACAACCTAATGAGTCAACAATCCCTCTTGAAATTCAAAATGAGAGTAAATTCTTCCCATATTTTAAGGATTGCCTTGGTGCTATAGATGGAACACATACACGAGTCAAGGCGCCTTCTATAGATGCTCCTCGATATCATGGTAGAAAGGAATTTCCAACACAGAATGTGTTAGCAATATGTACATTTGACCTAAAGTTCACTTATGTGCTTCCTGGATAGGAAGGCACTGCATCCGACTCGCGGATTATTAAAAATACATTAACAAGGGAAGATAGCCTTAAAATTCCTGAAGGTATGGGTTTTACCAATTTTGCTTAAGTTTACATTCATTAGGGATTATAAAACCAATACAGTAATTGTCTTTATTTATGATAGGTAAATATTATCTTGTGGATGCTGGATTCATGTTAACAAGAGGGCTTATAACACCTTATTAGGGAGTTCGTTATCATTTGAAAGAGTATTCAAAAAGAAATCCACCCCTAAATCATAAGGAGTTATTTAACCTTCGACATGCAAAGTTACGGAATGCAATTGAAAGAGCTTTTGGTGTTTTGAAGAAAAGATTTGCAATTTTATCCAATGCAACCGAACCTACATATGGCATCAAGGTTCAAAAAATGATAATATATGCCTGTATAATTCTTTATAACTTCCTTATGAGTGCTGACCCTGCTGAAGATCTTATAAGAGAAGTTGATAGGGAACTTCTTCAACAGAATACGGCAAATGACAATAACCGTGCTTCAAGTAGTGACAATAATGAGGCTGCTCGAGGTGAACTTATCAGAGAACGTATAGCCACTCTAATAGTTATGACTTGAAGCAGAAATGTTATCTTTACTAGTTAGTAAGTGATAAATACAAAAACCATGCACTTCTCTTATGTGTAGTAACCCCTCTTGTCTTTGTCAATTGTCTTTTTTTCCCCCTCAAAGACTATCTTCATTATGGTTATGCTGTAATGTTCTATTGTTGGCTATCAGTAAGATTTTACTTCTCTTTTCCGTTACTTCCATGCACTTTTGATGACTATTTGGCTTGTTATATCATCATTTGTCTTTCAATTCAATCATTAGTGTAACTGCTATGAGCCACCCTTCCACTTATTTGCCTTTTGTTTATTTCATGAACTTGTACCGATTATATTCAATGCTTTCTGTTTATGACATTGGATTTAATGCCTTTCTGTTTATTCAATGCTTGGATTTAATGCCTTCTGCAATATGAAAAATTCCTTTCTTTCCTGCGATATGAAAATTAAGTTTCAGATTTATGTAATATTAATATGCCCAATTCATCTCCATGCTAATATATTTTATTTCCTCTATTTTTTAGGCTAAACCTAAGGCAGCACAGTGGAGAAACAATCCTTTTCCAAATTATGAGAAGATACTAATACTATATGGGGTGGATAGAGCTAATGGAGATGAGGGGGAGACAATGCGTGAATGGAAGAAGAGACGTCGTACTCAGGAAGAGACCACTAGAACTGTTAATGATATTGATAAGCTTGTTTCACAAGGTAGATATTCATTACAAAATGATGATGATTTTGTTGAGTTAGATGGACAAGATAACTCACCTGGACAAGGATTGTCACCTGAAGAAGATAATTCTCCTGTTGCTAATAGTGCTTGTAGTAAGAGGACAAAACGAGCATCCAAAGAGCATGAAAATAATTTAAAGGAACTAACTGGGGCAATATGTCGAGTGGCTGATGCATTAGATAGAGGAACTGAGGCAATACTGTAAGGAAATATCTATAACAAAAGCCTCCACTACAAAGATGCAAGCACCACAGCTATCCGATGAAGAACTTTGCAAACTACTTGAAGAATGTGGGATTGAGATAGAAAAAATACCTGATATATATTGCTTCCTTATGAATGATGTTGATAAGCTTAGAACAGTTGCTCAATGTCCAGTTGCAATAAGGAAGCAAGTGATAATGAAGATGTTTTATGGTTCTTATTAAATAGTTGTTTAACCACTTACTATGATGACTTTTGATATAAGCCCAATGTGATTTCTAGCTACTAATACTTTTTGTATATTTTGATAGATGCTAACAATTTTAGCTTTTTAATAGTAGGGATGACTTCATTTGCCTTATTAGGGGTATGTTTTGTTGAAAGCTTTTGTATTGTTAGCAAAATGTTATAAACTATGATGAAGACATTTATTTATGAAGAGTTTTATTATCAAGAGTTTTATTTATTTGCATGATTGGTTTTATGAAGACAAAGGCGGTCCATCCTGTTACTTCACAGTAGGGATTATACCAACATATATGCAACAAGAGGGAAATAAGGTGCAGAATCAGCGAAAAAATCAATAAAAATAAAAATAAAAAAACCGTGATACATAATACATTATGGAAGAATCAACGAAAAAATAAAAAACCATGAGGTGCAAATAGTATGGGTATCAAATTACATATTAACAGTGATTATGTAAATAAATCAAATTAAATTATGAGGCTACCTTTTTTAAATTAAACAAATAAATTAAATTATGAGGATAACTTTTTTAAATTAAACAAATAGTATGGGTATCAATTTTAAATGAAAAATTTAACAATTTAATTTATGTTACCCACAAGATAATAATCCAATAATAAGTAACTTCCTAAATATAGAATTATCAATTTTATTTTTTAGCATATATTATTTTATTAGAGATTATTTAAATTAATTTGTATAACAATAATATATATCAAATATAAGGGTAAAATGGTAAATTGATTATTATCATCCCTCCCCCCTCTTGAACCAAACAAGGGATCATTAAATATCCCTCTCTCCCCTCCTTTTTAATTAAACCAAACAAGGTGAGGTTATAACCCCCCTCCCCCTCCCCTCAAACCAAACAGGCCCTTAGACTCCCCATCAAGCCATCAATATGTTCATTATTTTTTTAAATATATTTTTAGTACTATTTTGATTTTCTTTTTCATTTTATATTCAAATCATTTTTTTTCATTGACAAAAGTTATTTCATACTCCCTCGGTCCCTCCTAGCTTTTTTTATGAGAACCTGAAATTTAAATTATTTTGATCATTTTTATAAGATTTCACTTATAGTTATTTAAACATTTAATGTGTTTTTATCATTTTTGTACCTAATTAATTTTATATATTGCATTAATTAAAATGTTTATTGCAGTCTCTTTCATACATTCTCTCTCTTACTTAGCTCTTATAAGGGCATGCTGGTGAAAAAAGTTCATATTTTATATATTTATTTTTAACTAATTTTAAATATTTTTTAAATCACTTAATTTAATTATCAGGCTCTTGTAAAAAGAATTGAAGGAGTAAAAAGAATTGAAGGGAGTATAAAGTTGGACATGAATGAAAGCGCAAAAAATTAATGAATGCAAATAAAAATACTACCCTAATACAAATTACTTACAAAATTACAAAATAAATATTCCTCTGATCCTTAATATAGGATTCAATTTTTGAGTTAGTTTTGGTTTTAAATATAAGACTATTTCTCATATTTATCAATTTTTTCTAAATTACCCCTATGGATACTTCCTTAACCATAATCAAGTAGAAGAATGATAGAAGTATTAAGAAAGATGATTATAGTATTTAAGAAAAATGTGTTACTTTTTTTTATAATTAACTAATTATCTAACTTCCTTGATCTAATCAAATTAATTAAATAGGTTTTATATTAAGGACCGGAAGAGTATATATTTAGGCCAGATATCGATTTTTTTTTTTGCTGGTACGAGAAATTTCTACCTACTTTAAACCAGAAACAAAACAAGAAAAGAAAAATCATACCCAAGAACTTTCACGACGGTCCGAAAATTTCTAATCTAAGCGTGTTGACTTGAAGTCAACAAAAGTTTTCATTATTGGTGGAAATTTCAGCCTACTGTGAATGGAAAAAAAAGGCGAAGATATCATACCCAAAACTTTCGTGGCTGTCTGAAAATTTCTAATCCAAGTATTATTGACTTGAGTCAACAAAAGTCTTCATTATTTGGTGGAAATTTCGGCCTACTTTGAATTGGGAAATAAAGGGCGCGAAAAAATCATGCCGGAAGAACTTTTTTTGGGACAGCCATACCGGAGAGCTTTAATGGCATCCCGAAAAAAAATTTTAGGGAAAATGACAAGAAAATGACTGTTGAATTCTAAAATGACAAAATGGGCATGTAAATTACTGAAATGACAAAATGGGCATGGGGTATCAATCTGGAATTTGATAATTCGCCAAAAAGACTGAAATGCCCCTGAATCAGTCTGAACTCATGAAGACAAAGGCATGACACGTAACATGAGGGAGAGATGAGAAGCTGAAAACGGAGGTGGAGCAGAGTCGAACGCTGAGAAGACGGAAAAGGTAAGGAAAATTTCTCCTAAAATGCTGTTATCTACTCCTCCAACTCTCACCATTGTACAAATCTGATTCATTACGGTGGAATTGCTTTGTGGGCAACCTGGTTTGTAGTGAGAGAGGGGTTGAACGTGGGTATTACGTAAGAAAGTGGAGCTTAATGATGGGTTTGGGTTTTCAAGTCGGTTTACTGGTACATGGTCTAATGGGGATGGGTTTATGAGTGTAGATGGTTTAAATGAAGAATCTGACCAGGATGAGAGAGTGATACATCGGAAATGAAAAAATGGTGGGAACTGATAACGTGGGCATGAAGATTGAGGGCTAACAGTAAGCATGAGGTGGTCAGTGTTGTCAAATTCATTATTGGAATTGTGAAATCCCATATTTAAGTTGTCAATGTAGCAAGTGTGCGCGGACGTATTTTGGGTGTTGCATTTTTTGTGAAATCGCAAGAAAAGTTTCGAAATCCTGATAAATGAAATTGATTATTGGGGAACTAAAATATTGATTTATGCTTCTGTGGTGCAGGTTAGGTAGCTTTGATGACATCTAACATTGGGTCAACATCTTCAAAGCGTCTTGCTTGTTACTTTCATGTGGGTGGGAAGTTTGCAGAAAATGGTGATGGTGAAGTTAAGTACTATGGTGGAACTGTCAGGGTAAGAGTGATCAAGGAGGGTATAAGGCTTGAAGATTTGAGGGTTATGATAGGAGAATGGTTTGGTGTAGATAGTAATGGTTGCGACATTAAATACACATTGGGCTTGAATGATAGGATATTAATAGATCTTATTGATGATGATGAAGTTGACAACCTATTTGAGTATAATGATAGTAATGCACATGTATACGTAGCAGCTAAAGGTAATGAGAATACGGAGGAAGAAGTGGCTGATCGAAACAGGTAAGTCACAAGTTTCGGATTATGGAAGTTGTTACTTGCGATAATGTTGTTGTTAATATCATAACAAATGTTGTAATTATACATGCAGCATGTCAAAATTGTCAGGACTGTCACAGCAAAATGATGAGCCAATGATTGAGGATGCTGTCGAATGTGTGAATTACATAGCAGCTGAAAATGTTCTTAGCCTGCCATATGCAGTAGAGAGTGCACCAACTCCTTTGCCAGGAATGAATTCCCTGAAATGGAAAACAGTATTGTTAGGATTGAGGCAGACTTTTCCAGATGCGGATGATTTCAAGAAGAAACTACACAAATTCAGCATTGCAAACAAATTTGAGTATAAATATGTGAAGAATTCTAATGCCCATATGTATGTCAAATGCAATGTTGAAGGTTGTCCATGGAGGATCAGTGCAAGAGCAGCTGTAAAGAGTACTCCAGCATTTTTACGTGTAACGACATTCAAAAATGAGCATGTTCATAATGCCCAAGACAATCTTCATGTGACACATGGTAGATCAGCTAGCTTGACATCATCAATTATAATTGAAGAGGTTAGGGATCATATAGACATGCGTCCAAATGATATAAAAAAGAGGTTGGAAAGAGATTATGGTGTGAAGTTGACATATAAGCAAGCATACAGGGCCAAGGAAAAAGCGTTGGAGGACATACATGGCAGACCTGATCATTTTACATGCTTATTCCATGGATATGTGACCGGTTGAAGGAAACCGATGACAAAACAGTGGCAAAATGGGTGGCTGCAAGGAACAACAGATTTGAGCGTGTATTCATAGCCTATGGGTGTTGTATAGAGGGTTTTATTGCTGGTGCTAGACATGTACTGTATATTGATGGAAGTCATTTAAGTGGACCGTATAAGGGGACACTACTTTCAGCGTCGGCTTATGATGCGGACAACGAATTATTACCTTTTGCCATTGCGATTGTGAAGGGAGAGACGCTTGAGGATTGGACATGGTTCTTACATATGATCAAGGAGATAATTGGGTCAATGCAATTAACAATCATTTCAGACCGACACAATGCAATTATAGGTGCTGTGCAAGCAATATTCGGAGGTGAGCGACATGCGTACTGTTACAGACATGTTAAGGAGAATTTCAGTACACAAATGATCAAGTTAAATAGAGGAAGAAGGAAGACAAGTGGCAACACAAGGGAGGATGGACTGCATTTCCTAGATGCCATTGCATATGCAAGGCTTGACACAGAGTTTGATCAAGCAATGGATAACATGAGACACTTCAATTCCCAATTATTTGAATGGCTTGTCAATCATGGTGATATTCACAAGTGGGCCTTAAGCAAGTTCCCTTTTAAACGATGGGACAACATAACAACAAACCTTGCAGAGTCATTCAATGCGTGGATGCTGAAGGAGAGAAGATATAATGTTGCCCAACTTATACATGAGCATCGTGAAAAAGTAGCCAAGAAGATGTATGCAGCAAGCATGGCAATGAGCAAATGGAAGAATGGTGTAGGCCCAAATACAAATGCAACATTGATGGAAAATGTGGCGAGATCTGCACAGATGTTAAGTGTTCCTTACGGAAGGGGTAGGGTGTGTGTCCATACAGCAAAAGGAGCCATTAATGTTGATCTTGGAAAAGGTGAATGTAGTTGTGCAGCTTGGCAAATGTCAGGCATCCCATGCCCACATGCATGTGCAGCTATCAAGGCCTTGAATTGCAATGTGTATGATTTTGTTGAAGAATGCTACAAGATTACGTCCCAACAAAAGATTTATGGTAGGACGATGACTCCAGTGGTGACAATCGACATGCCAAATCCTAATAACTATCGGCTGCAAGATATAGCAAGTCAAGTGTTTTTGGCACCACCTTTGACTAGTCGACCACCTGGAAGGCCTAGGATAAATAGGCAAGAGTCGCAGTTTCAAAACAAGAAGGTCTACCATTGTAGTGCATGCCAGCAAGTTGGCCACACAAGAAGAACATGCAAGAATCCAAACCCAACTTAAGGTTTCATGTCAATACCAACAGGGGTAATTTTTTTGTTATAGGAAAGGAATGACTCTTGAACCCTTTTTAATTTTTTTGGGAGAAGGGTTGATAGGTAGGCTATCTTTTTTGTTAATGATGTTAACTGGGTAGGAGATGTTCTGTAATCTGAATGACAAGAAAACATTAGGCGGTAGGTTAATCCTAATGTTAACTTGTCATTTGGATATCAGTTATGTAGCTTCTGTCATGGGCCTACTGGTTTTTAGTAAATATCATTACGTCAGTGGTCAATTCCATTACAGATATAGTAAAGTCTGAATGTTAATGTAAAAATCGTATGATGGGTAGGCTATCCTTTTTGTAAATGATATTCACTGGGTAGGATATGTTTTGTAATGTGAATGGGGACGAAACATTAGGTAGTGGGTTAATCTTACTGTTAACTTGTCATTTGAATATAAGTTATGTACCTTCTGTGATGGGCCTACTGGTTTTTGGTAAATATTGTCACTTCAGTGGTAAATTCAATTACACATGTAGTAAAGTCTAAATGTTAATGCAGACATCCTATGATGCTCTTTTGGTGTACTTCTATGCTATTTTGGCAACACAGATGACCTTTTGTTTAATGCCCTCAAGGGAGATGGTGGAAGTTGCCAATGGGTATGACTGGAGTGGTTAATGTCATCAACGATGTTGTTATTCACATTATCAATGTTGTTATTATCATTTCCAGGCTAGTGAAACTCCCTGAAAATATGTTACTTGACTTTGAAATAAAGGAAGTGGAAGTGGAAAAAGCAGAGTGGTAAATATCATCACTAAAGTTGCAATTAAAATTAGCCATGTTGTCATTATCATTACGGGGGTAGTAAAATTTCCTGAACAATTTGATGCGTGGGTTTGACTTAAAGGAACCGAAAATGGGAAAAGCAGACTGGTAAATGTCATAACTGAAGTTGCAATTAACATTTCCAATGTTGTCATTATCATTACGGGGGTAGTACAATTTCCTGAACAATTTGATGCGTGAGTTTGACTTAAAGGAACCGGAAATGGGAAAAGCAGAGTGGTAAATGTCATAACGGAAGTTGCAATTAACATTTCCAATGTTGTCATTATCATTACGGGGGTAGTAAAATTTCCTGAACAATTTGATGCGTGGGTCTCAGTTAAGGGAACCGCAAATGGGAAAAGCAGACCGGTAAATGTCGTTACTCAAGTTGCAATTAACATTACCCATGTTGTCATTATCATTACGGGGGTAGTACAATTTCCTGAACAATTTGATGCGTGGGTCTCAGTTAAGGGAACCGCAAATGGGAAAAGCAGAGTGGTAAATGTCGTTACTCAAGTTGCAATTAACATTACCCATGTTGTCATTATCATTACGGGGGTAGTACAATTTCCTGAACAATTTGATGCGTGGTTTGACTTAAAGGAACCGGAAATGGGAAAAGCAGAGTGGTAAATGTCATATGGAAGTTGCAATTAACATTTCCAATGTTGTCATTATCATTACGGGGTAGTACAATTTCCTGAACAATTTGATGCGTGGGTCTCAGTTAAGGGAACCGCAAATGGGAAAAGCAACTGGTAAATGTCGTTACTGAAGTTGCAATTAACATTACCCATGTTGTCATTATCATTACGGGGTAGTAAAATTTCCTGAACAATTTGATGCGTGGGATTGACTTAAAGGAACCGGAAATGGGACAATTTCCTAAACATGGGGATGCAAATGGGGAAACCATAGTGGTAAATGTCATTACTATAGTTGCAATTTCCCTTAACAATGTTGTGATTTTCATTACCCAGGTTGTGAAATTCTGACAATTTATACGTGGGGACGAAAATGCAGTTGCAAAAAGGAATAGCGAGGTGGTAACAATCATTAAAAAAGTTGTAATTTTCATTACCAATGTTGTCATTCTAGCGAAAATGGATTCAAAAAAGTGATTTGGGCTTGAAAGACTTCAGATGCAAATGGCAACAGCGATGTCGTAACTATCATTACAGAGGTTGCAATTCTCAATCCGAAAGTTGTTAATCCTATTACTTGTGTAGTTAACCTGGGTCCAAGTGGATGTAATTTGGGGCACAAATAATCAACTTGTGATTATCATCACGGAAGTCACATGGCATGTTGTAAATTTCATAACTCTTTTACTCAAATTATCCCAAAAAGGATTGCAATTAGGCCAACAACTGGCAGCCACTTAGACTTCAAACTACATAAGACTTCAAATATTAAGACTTCAAACTAACACTCCTTTTACAAATACTATATGCCTAATCTACATAATGTCTCCTCCTATCACAGATGGCGTCTTTTGGTCAGTGTGGTGGCTTGGGTTGATGAAAGCAAGCTTAATGCTTCATCACGTCTTGAATTAAGCTCATGATTCACTAGCCACCACATGAGGTTTCGTCGGAATTCAGCCACTTGTTCATCCGTATAGTGAAGTATCTCACCGGGCTTCCATTTACTCAACCATATTAATACATGAACACCGCAGTCTCGCCTGCACATCAAAACATACCAACGATGTAAAAGAATGAAAATAACACATTGGGCTACTTTGAGACGTAATAATATCAACAACATAAACCACTCACAGATTGTTTTGTTGCGGAACAGGAGCCCAAATGATATCACTCATTTTCTTCTTCCCAGTGGCATTAGGCTTAACTATCTCAATAATGTCATAAAATCTATTCCTCTGCACAATATCATTACGCAATTGTAAATAAAAGGTAAATGAAATGTCAATCATAGAAGATGAGTTGCATTATCCTTACACATTCAGTGACGACGGTCGTCATGTCATCAATAATTACACCCTTCTTCTTGCTCTTCTTCTTACCCTCTAAATTTGGCTTCATTGAGTCCAGCACATAGAAATTCATTGTGCTAGGCTCAAGCACAACACAGAACCAGTGAGCGCCAACAAGTGTGGGTCCAAAGATCAAATCACATTCTCCTATGTTGTAGCCTACATTTTCAGGTAAAAATTGTTTTTTTCCGTTTTGTAGCATCCCACAGCTTTGGGTTAGCTGCCATTATTGCCTGAAACATGAACATTTTAGTCATTTATCAATATCAATCGACAAAAAACTAACATCTCAGCAAGCTTACCATAAAATCAGCATAAAAAATGTGCCGCTTCACCTGCCCTTCCTTCTCCATATCAGCCATTAGAGTCTTGCACACAGTTGACATCAGCTGTACGCAAAGAGATTATTGTTTTGATGAACCCAAAATGCAGCATCTACTAAACAATTAAATGACCTCATCACAAATATTCTACTTACCCGGTTACCTATTTTCTCAATTCCGCCAAGTGTCCTTAGCTGATCCCGAGTGATATCTTCATCAGAGATTTTCACCAAAGGCCTAAAAATATGTTGTCAATATCATTATGCATATAGTCAATTACCACAAAATTGTAATGAATATGATTACGTGGGTAGTGGATATGTACATACATGTCACCCTCCTTGCTTGAACACATACGGGAAACTATGTCATAAAACCGGTCCTTGTCATCCATGGGCCTCTTTCGCCTCTTAGTTGGCTTTGTCAAAATCCATGGAGAATTGATAGCGGATTTCATCTCCCTTTGCGATCTCCGGAGTTGACATCCCTTGTCCATGGGGGACAAGGGCAGGGGAGACTCCATAATTTCTTTGTCTGCACCTTCTGCTGCAACACCAATGTCATCACCCCTATCTGAGCCAGTTGCATCATCGTCTCCCTGACCATCTCCCCCGTGGAACTCATCTCTATCATCACCTTCGTCATCAGACTCATGTCCATCATGATCATGGGAGTCTTCATCGCCAAATGCATCATCATCTCCCTTATCATCATCTGGGACGTCAATAGGGTCCTCATCATCTGTGGTCACATTATTTTCCTCTATCCTTATCTGCACCTTATCTAGCTCATCTTCCATTGCACTTATAAGCCTCATAGTGCTTAATTCGATCTGAGCCATCAATCGTCCGTGCAACTTCTGTAACTCCTGCAGCAAACAATTTAAAATGAGTAAACACTTTTTTCATGAGATTATTTGCTAATGAGAATGAAAATTAGTAATGAAAGCACATACCGGGTGTAAATGAGCCACACTTCTGCGTTTTCCTTCATCCTTCCCACTTCTATCCATACTTCCCTTGCCCTTATACAGTAAACCCCTCTTGCTTTCCCTCTCCTTCTTTTCCAGCTTCCTTATCCTCTCATCAGTCCAGAATTGAATGGCATTTAGGGACCCTCTCTCAACAGTTTTGGATAGTGGGAAGTGCTCAGCAAAATATAACTACAATAGTAAATCATTAACTTGCCAATTCCACAAATAAAGAAAACAATAACTTAGAAGCATAAGTCAGAAATACATACCAACAGGAGGTAGATGCATCCTCCCACATTGCAGCTTCCTTCATCTTCATCTTCGTCTTTCTTTGCTTTTGTGTACACTTTCACATAATCTCCCATCTCTTTCCACAAGTGCTTCACAATGTACGTGGCCCAATCAAATTGGTGAAATCCCTTCATGGTACAGCACATGACTCTTATTAGCTTGTCACTCACAGTTGTTTGTGAAGTAGGAGTTAAAAAACTCCCAAGTGTGTACAGCATAAACAGGAACTCAAACTCATCTTTCTTCTGCCCAGATTTAATGTCATTGAGTATCTTCGTATAAGGGACTTTACCAAATTCCTCCTTCAACCTCTGGTATGTCTCATCATCATCACATACGTCCATTTTTACCTTCTCCCCTGTGTGGGGTACACCCAACAAGTTTGCAACATCATTTGCTTCTATTTCCTTTATTAGAAATTGATGGGTAGGCGGATCATATGCTCGGAGAACACATACTATGAGGTCACGAGGGAGTCTCTCACATCCAATGTCAAGTAAATGGCCAAAGCCTAAATTTTGTACCCTCACTTTCAAATCTTCATCATCTTTTATGAAGTCCACTAATGACTTAAATTGCCGAACCGAGCAACGAGTGCTAAAAGCCACTTTTTTCTTCCTCTTCTTCTTCATCCCTTCCTTTCTTGATTGCTTCACCCTATCACTGTATTTCTTCTGCTCCTCTGGTGTCAACTGCTTCCATGCCTTTGATGCCTTTTTCGCTTGTTCAGACATATTCTTAAACTTCTCCCCACCCTTAAGAAATTCTCGTCTAAACAACATGTAGCCATTCTTCACTTCTTCACTTGGCCCTCCTTCTACAACAAGCATAAATAACTAAATCTGGTCAGTTGAACAGCTCAACTTTCTTTGCATTTCAAAAAAGTTGTCATTACCATTTCCAGTGTAGTCATTCACATTATAGGTGTTGTTATTTAGCCACAAAATGAACCTCGACTATTTACTACTCATATAACTAAATTTGCTGATCACATAATGAATGTTATTGCTTCTTTCTCACTTCACAGAACAGAGCAGAAAATAGAGACTAATGACATAATACACTTTAACAACAAACTAAAAACAATCTAACTTACCAGTTACTTCGCCAACCTCCTCCATGACAGCAATGCGATTGATGCTTCTCAGCACTTCAGCGACCTCTACCTCTTCAATCCTCAAACCAGCAGATTAATCTCTACCTCTTCAATCCTCAGACCAACAGATTCAAAAATAAATGAATATGCATTAAAAGTGATTCTTTCTCGATGAAATGTTACAAAATTTGTATCTTCAAGTAACTTATATTATGGAAATTACTACTACATAGTGCCACAGATGACCAAGTAAATTATACCAATACATAAGAAGGCCACAAAGGTTATTCTCACTTGGTACATACTGAAATGAATATGCATGTTCATCCCCAGGTAAATTGCACCGCTAAATGACTGAGGTTATGCCCATTAGGTAGCTATATCTTCAAAACAGAGTTCTACCCACGAAAAGTCACCCCTTTCAATTTATTTTACAATGTTAAATTTGCATAACCAATATGGGGATACAGTTGAACTCATTTTAGTCCCATACACAATGCTAAAAATGTGCAATGCCCATTACACGAACAGACCAAACAAGGGGGCGGAAACAGGAAGCATCCTGGCTCATGTGCGACAGTGGTCTCAATTTATGGGCATCTAAAAAGTAGTGTAGCAATCATAAACACACACGTATATTATGCCTTCCAACATTACAGCAACACAGCAATCAGACAACAACAATCAGAGAGATATCTCGTCAAACATGGACCGAGTTATATGAATCAGAGCAAGCAAGCAACTTCTGTAATTCCGTCACACACAGAAGCACCGACTTTTAATCTAATCTACCTTTACATTCCATTTTAAGCCTTTACCATTGCTTCCCCCTTTACAACCAACATTCACCGTTTTCCCCAAATTAAAACACTCCAATCAGACAAGCACAAGACGGAGACATTTGGGTGGCTTACCGGGGTCCGAACGAATATCGACTTCTTCCTCAACCGGTGACGACCTTACAGGTGCTCTCCCTCGAAATCTCTCTCTCTAGCCACCCCCTCTCCCTTCTGAAGATTGAAGCTTCTCACTGGTTTATTGCTTCTCACTACGACCCACGGAAAAGACGAAGAAGCCGGACGCTATTCACATTCCTCGTTCACAGTTCCTCAACCATGGCAATGTGAGACTTGCGACAACCATATGCAGTTTCGCCGAGTGCAATGTGAGAGTTCGGAGAACCCTATGGTCTATGCAGTTTCGCCGAGTGGAGAACCGCCAACCAAACTCCAGTTCCGTTGCACAATATCCCGCCCTCTGATTCCCGAAAAAATTAAGGGCATTTCAGTCTTTTTGGCGAATTACTCAAATTCCAGATTGATACCCCATGCCCATTTTGTCATTTCAGTAATTTACATGCCCATTTTGTCATTTTAGAATTCAACAGTCATTTTCTTGTCATTTTCCCAAATTTCTATTCTAAATTTCTAATTCTTTAAACAATAATGCCCCAAAAAATAAAAAAAGAGTTATTAGCACTGAGTCAAAAAGTGCTACCGAGTACCGACTAAAGTTTTTATCATTTCGCAGAAATTTCGGCATACTATGATGAAAATTCTATTCTGATTCTTCAAACAATAATGCCCAAAAAAAAAGTTGTTGGCTCATAGTCAAAAAGTGCTACTGACAAAAGTTTTCATTATTTCGTGCAATTTCGGCCTCGTATGATGTGTAAGAAATTTCCACCGACAGCTTCCTCCTGTTGCTCCCTCATTTATTCTTGTAAAGAAGAGAAGGGAAAAATCATTAAAAATGATAAGGATTGTGACTTCCATTGCACTCCGGAGGGGCGCACGCCTCTACCCAATGAGTACGTCTGCTAAAAATAAAAAATAAAAAGGATTGCGGAAGAAATACAATGTGCGGTGGAGAGAATGCTTGGGGCCATATGATAATATATGTATTCATAGTAAAATGAATAATTAAATGAGAGGGACAATAAAAACAGCCTACTTTAAAAACACAATTTATAACTAATATTTATTTTTTTTTTAAAATGAGGGAATGAGTAACTCTGGAAGGAGTAACTCTTAAATGCGAAACAAGCTTAAAAGTGATTTTGCTATATTCAAAATAAGTCTGTGAGACAATCTCAATTTATATAAAAGTTTTTTTTTTTTGGAAAGAAAAGTGTTTCTATGAATGGCTGAATACTCACGTACTCATTTTTCTGTTGTGCCGATCGAATTCCCAAGAGAAGCGAACTCACCCACTCAACTTCAAATCTTCAACCTCAGTTTTATTACCATTGGTTGGAGCTTTGTCGTTTTATTAATTAACTGTAGTTGTATCAAACAACAGTTTTTTTTAAAGTAAAATCAAATATCCAAATTTATTAAATAAAGGTAAAAAATTTAAACTCTTTAAATTCTAAATACATTTGAAAAAAATACTTTAAAGTATTAGATGACTCACAAATTAATTTAGAATACTGAATACTACTTAGATAAAAAATACTTCAAGATACTAGAAGTTATTTAGAAAATACTTTAGAAAATATTAATTTAATATATTGAAAGCTATTTATAAAATACCTCAAGATGCATCTTGCTCTTGACTTTTGTAAGAACTACGGCCAAATCAAATTGTACAATTGGGATTTTTTTTTTTTGGCTGAAATAGTAGTGTTGTGGAAAGCTAGTGATATAAATGCTATAATTTTTTGTAGCACACAGCGCGTGTATGTGTGGGCTATTTGCCTACTTGTTTCAGCGTTTCACTCTGCCCATGATGCGACACCGTTTGCACCTAATGCCGACACCGTTTGTACTAGGAAAATAACGCATGCGGGCCATTTTAGAAAGTAGAAAATGAATGGGCAAGGAAGCATGTGATTGTGCAGCCTTTTTTGTCCGACGTGTGATTCACGACACGGCAAAGGCGTCATTATTGATCTAATTCTTTAAACAAGAACCACCCCATGAAAAAGAAAATTTTGTTGTTGACTCGAAGTCAAAAAGAGCCACTGACAAAGGTCCTCATCATTTCATGAAAATTTCGGCCTACTTTAAACAAGGAATTTCCACCGACAGCTTCGTTGGTTGTTGCCTATTTAATGCAAACTAAACAACGGATCAGTACTCACATACTCATTTTTCTGTTGTGCCCATCGAATTCCCAAGACAAGCGAACTCACCAAATCAACCTCTTATCTGATTTAGCCACTCCCACCAAGGTATTGATATGGTCTTTCTCCCTTATTCTCTAACAACTTGAACGCTATTCTTTTGTTTTTTTAAGAAACAATCAACAGCTTATAAAACATTATATTGTTTCTTTTTTTTTTTGTCTCCAAGCAATGGCTGCTTCTATTTCTGCCTCTTCTTCCCAAGTTCCCTCTAGAAAAGAGTATCAAGTCTTCGTCAGCTTTAGAGGATCAGACGTCAGATTTGGTTTCCTCGGCCATTTGACAACCAAGTTGCGTGAAGAGAGAATAGATTTCTATGTGGACGAGAAGCTTGAAAGAGGACAAGAAATATCATCAGCACTTATAGAAGCAATAGAAGGATCCATGATTGCGTTGGTGATATTCTCAAAAGATTATGCTTCTTCAAAATGGTGCTTAGAAGAGCTTGTCAAAATCATGGAATGTAAGGAAACTAAGCAACAGATTGTGATACCAGTTTTTCACGATATAGATCCATCAGATGTCAGGCACCAGAAAGGCACATATGAGGAGGCATTCACTCATCATGAACACAAGTTCAATGATAACATGGAAAAGTTGCCAATTTGGAGATCAGTCTTAAAAAAAGCTGCAGACTTATCTGGTTTCCAGGCATTCACTCATCATGAACAGAAGTTCAATGATAACATGGAAAAGTTGCAAATTTGGAGGTCAGTCTTAGAAAAAACTGCAAACTTGGCAGGTTACCATTCATTAAATTTTCGGTAAGTTTGTTTTATGATTCTTAATTTCTTCATCTTTTTTCTCAATTTGCCCAAAACGATTTAAATACAGTAAAATTGTATAAAAATTATGTCTAGCATCTATAATGAGTAACTTACACAGTTTTTTTTTTTTTTCTAATGCTAGAAATGAAGCTGAACTCATCGATGCAATAGTTGGACGTGTCTTAAAAATATTGAAAGAAAACAGTCCTCTAAGATCTCAGCCTATTGAATTTCATCAAAATTTCATTAGGGTTGAATCATTAATGAAAGTTGAGTCGCCAGAAGAAGTTCGAGTCCTTGGAATTTGGGGTCCAGGAGGGATAGGCAAAACAACCCTTGCTTCTGCTATATTTGACAAGTTCTCGTTTAAATTTAAAAGTCGCTGTTTCTTAAATGTGAGAGAAGAATCTGATCGGAGGTCTTTGCATGAAAAACTTCTTCCTAAGCTATTTGGTGAAAAAGATTGCATAGATATAAGTCCCGCAAAGAGAAGGCTGGAACAAAAAAGAGTGTTAATTGTACTTGATGATGTGAACAATTCAATCCTATTAAACGATTTGGTTTTGGGACCAGGTAGTAGAGTCATTGCAACAAGTAGAAACAAGCAAGTTCTTATTAGTGGAGAGATTCATGAAAAATATATACATGAAGTTGAGGAGTTAAATTTTAAAGAATCACTTGAACTTTTCAGTAGACATGCCTTCGGAAAAATTCGTCCCAGTATGGGATATGAAGAGCTATCGGAAAGGGTGGTAGCCATTGCTAAAGGCATTCCTTTAGCTTTAGAAGTTTTGGGTTCCCATTTTCGTTCTAGAGATGAAAGATATTGGAAGAGTGAGCTTAGCAAACTCCCAAAGAATCCTCATCGGGACATTCAAAAAATTTTCAAGGTGAGTTATGATGGATTAGATTTCATAGAGAGGGAAATATTTTTAGACATTGCATTCTTTTTCCTGGGAGAAAAAAAGGCTGAAGTTACTCTTGTGCTAGAGGCTTGTCATCTCGGAGCAAGTAGTGGAATACAAAATCTTATAGATAAGGCTCTTATAAAGTTAGATGGAAGTGACCAAATTTTGATGCATGATTTGATACGAGAAATGGCTGAGCAAATAGTTCGTGAGGAATGTATGAAACATCCTGAAAGACGTAGCCGATTAAATGATGGAGACGAAATATATAATATATTAAAAAGTAACATGGTAAGGGAAAGGTATATCAATATTTATTCCTTTTATTTTTTATGTTTTGTAAGTTTTAAAAAATTTAATTTCTCTTTTATTTTATTTTTGTTCAGGGAAGTGATGAAATTGAAGGCAT